TTGGGTTTGGCTTTCAGAAATCTCAGCCTGGTGGCTATCAGAGATAAGGGTTTCTTTCAAGGTACTCTAGAAATTTTCAAGTCTCTATACAGGCCCTGAGGTGAGAATTTAAAGCTCTGTACTGACCACTTTGCTTCTCCAAGTTCTTCAGCAACCAACCTACCCTAGTATACTTTTGGTTTTTTTGTACCAGGGATTGAACTCGGGTCCTTGCGCTTGTGCAGCAGGCAACGAAACCACTGAGCTAAATCCCCGGCCCTAGTATACTTATTTTGACTAAAATATTCTCAAGTAGCAAATACTGTATTTGGTTTCCCAGAGTCTTGCCTTCTATGGGTACTTGATTAAAGGTGATAATTTGAGTAACTGTTTTGCTACTTTGTCCCACGGACTATAAGCACCTTCTTTATCACTGAAAGGAGGGTTATTAGTGCCTTCAAATCTAATCAGATTAGAAAACTACAGAAAATTCAGGACCAATTCAGAGCACTCATTCTTAAGATTTTGTTGTTCTCAGTACCAAATTCCACATCAGTCAGGGTTCAACCAGAGGCAGAACCAGTAGGAAATATATATATAGTCATGTACCACATACCTACATTTTGGGAGTGCATATACAAGGGTGGTCCTGTAAGATTATATTGGCTCATGACACTGTAGTTGTCATAGTTTGTGTAAGAATACTCTATGATGTTCACACAATTATGAAATCATCTAATGATGCATTTATCAGAATGCAGCTGTGATTGTTGTGATATGTCAACTTGGCTTGAGTAAGACTGCCTAGCAGATTAGTAAAGCTCTGGATGTGTCTGTGGATGACTGACATGTAGGCTGCAAACTGCGGGAAGACCAAGCCCAGATATGGGTGACACCAATCAATAAGCTTTTAGCCTGGATGGAATAAAAAGAGAAAGAAGAAGGAAGACTTCCTTTTTCTTCTTTGGAGGAGCCCTGGCCTTTTCCATTGCTTTTGAACATTCATCTCCAGCTCCTTCAGCCTTCCAGTGTGGACTTTTCTGCCTTCCAACCCAGACACTTCAGCTTTCTGACACAGACTTGCACCAGACTCTGCAGTGAGCTCCAGGCCTTCAACATTCAACTGTATCCTCTGGCCCTCCAGTGTGCAGATGGTCATTTGTGTTTTTCTACCCCTGGTCCTGCAAGTGGCCATTGTTAAGTTTAACTAGTAAATCCTTTATATAATCATAAGTATGTATTATATTAAATCTGTTTCTCCAGTGAATCCTGACACAGTAGCCCTGGTGTTAAATGACTCACGACTGTGTGTATGTATGTGTACACCAATTCTATATTTGTGTGTCTATTGTGTATACACACTGATTCATGGAGTTAAGCACCCCAGAAATCAAAGAGGCTGGCAGAGGATCCAGGGAAAGGTAGAACAATCACAGGCCTACCTGTGGCTTCATGCCAACAAGGTGAGTCAGTAGATCAGCAACAGCACGTGCATGCTTTCTTCTTGCCTTCCAGTCTCTCAAGAATTTCCTTTGTGGCCCACCCATACCAAAAACATGCAAGAAAGGAAATTCTGAGAAAGGAAGTTCATCCTAGCCAAAGTGACCCATTACAAGGGTATCACATTCTCCAATGATTATATGCCTCTTCAGATCGCCCTTTTGTTCTTGAATTAGCTTTAGTGAACTCTTTTTCCTGAGGAAATAGTCCATTCGCCTAGTTTTAAAAATTATTGGCATTGGGCCGGGGATTTAGCTCAGTGGTTCCAGCGCCTGCCTCGCAAGTGCAAGGTCCCGAGTTCGATCCCCGGTACCAAAAAAAAAAATTATTGGCATTGAGAAAACTAAAACTAGACCCATATCTCTCACCATGCACTAAACTAAAATAAAAATGTATCAAAGATCTAAATATTAAAACAGAAACCCTAAATCTGCTGGAAGAGAGAATACATAGAACTCTTGAGGACATAGTGGTAGGTGAAGACTTCATGCACAAAACCCAGACTGCATGGGAAATAATACAAAGAGTCAACAACTGGGATCTTACTCTATTAAAAAGCTTTTGCACTGCAAAAGAAATCACCAACAAAGTGAAGAGACAACCCACAGAGTGGGAAAAAATTCTAGCCAGTAGTCCCTCAGACAAAGGACTAATATCTAGAACATATAAAGAATTCAAAAAAATCAGACTCCCCGCCAATTTAAAGACCCAATCCAAAACTGGGCATCTAAAATGAACAGACACTTCTCAGATGAAGAAGTACAAACAAAAAAATAAATATATGAAAAAATGCTCAACATCACTGGTCATTTGAGAAATGCAAATGAAAACAAAGCTGAGATTCCACCTCACTCTGGAAAGAATGGCTGCTATCATGAAATCAACCAATAACAAATGCTGGCGGGGCTGTGGGGAAAGAGGAACCCTGCTCCATTGTTGGTGGGAGTGTAGACTGGTGCACTCACTGTGGAAATCAGTGTGGAGATTCCCCCCCCAAAACAGAGGTCTTATTTGACCCAGCTATTCCCCTGCTGGGTATCTTCCCAAAAGAATTAAAAGCATCATACCACAGTGATATATGTGCACACATGTTTATAGCGGCAGAGTTTGTAATAGCTAAAGCTTGGAAACAGCCCAAATGCCCATTAACCAATGAATGGATAAAAAAGATGTGGTTTGTCTATGCAATGAAATATTACTCAGCCATAAAGGATAAACTCGAAACATTTATAGTTAAATGGATGCACCTTGAAGCTATACTCAAGTGAAATAAATTGAACACATGTATAAATATCACACTGTCTCTCAATGTAAGAAACTGAAAGTGTAAATAGGACCAAAATGTATAATAGACAATGTGAAATAAGAAAAAACAATTGTTCAAAAAGAAGGGGGAAATAGAGGGAAGGAGGGGGAAAGGAAGGAAGGAAAAAGAAAAAATGAGAAAAGAAGGAAAAAATGGAAATGGGGCTTTTGTAAATAAGGAAGGGAAGAGGAGTTGAAGGGAGGGGAGGGGGATGGGGAAAAAGAGGAATCAAAATACATCATGTAAAGATACAAATTCCCTATGATGAATGTGATCATTATGTATATCTAAATTGTACCAATAAAATTTAAATTAAAATAATAAAAATTATTGGCATCTTGTACTCCATATATACATGCGTTTTTAATGTTTTATATAGCAGTTTACATTTTAATTTAAAAAATTAAAAATAAAAGTTATTGGCATAAAGCTATTCACAGAATTCTTGTGAACTAGTTTATCAGCATTTTCTGGTATCTCTATAGTTATATTCCTTTTGTACTCACTCATTAATATGGTCATCTTTTATATTGGTTTTTAACTTAATAGCATTATGATCAAAGAATATAATATTTTTGTTACTGATTATTTGGTATTGGAGATTTGTGGTCAGTTTTTATAAATGTGTATTCTCTAAAATTGATTGCAGAGTTGTTTATGTGTATTTCTATGCACATACACACATCTATATACAAACAGTATACAAATACATATCTACACACCATCAGGTGGACTAATTAGGTTGTCCCGTCTTCTATACACTAATTTTTTATTTCCAAAATCAATTACTGACATTGTTGTATTAAAAAAATCTCCTTTTAGCAATTTAGTCTAGTAGTTATATCAATTTTTGCATTAAAAAATTTAAAGCTTTGTTACTAGATATATTTATAATTTTTATGTCTTCCTGGTGAATCATTCCTTTTTGTCTTTAGGAATGATCTTTTTGGAGCTGGAGATTAGCTTGGTGGTAGATGTATGGCTTGTGTCTAGATGTCCCCCAAAGCCTCAGGCAGTCATAGTTGGGGAAGGTGGCTGAATCTAGAGTGTGTGGGGCTGGAATTGATCCATGGTGCAACGCTAGGCTCAAGGGCACTAGGACTAAGGATGTGAGTGCTACCCACTCTAAGTAGTCTGGATAAGATAAAAGGGGCAGGGAGGCAGTGTTAAGGCCCCTTTGTTGCTTTGCTACCATCTGTCTGCCTTGAACTGTTTCTCCTCTGCCATGTGCCACCCTGCCTTGGAGCCAGCTGATTATGGACTGAAACCTCTACAAACTGTGAGCCAAATAAACCTTTCCCCCTTTAACTATGGGTGTCAGGATTTTGTCTCAGTGATGAGAGAAAGTAACTAAGACAGTAGGGCATACTCACCTAGGGTGCACACAGTCCTGGGGTTCAATCCCCAGGACTGCAAGGGCCAGGGGGTGGAGAAAATATAGCAAAGTACAGTAATGATCTTGTGTGTGTGCGCACACGCACATGTGTGTATGTGTGTGTGCATGTGCATGTTTTGCAGTACCAGAGACGAACAGAGGGAGTGCTGAGCTATACCGGTCCTGCCTTGGTTTTAATTTTGTTTTGAGACAGAGTCTCATTAAATCACTAAATTGCTCAGGCTGGGATTGAACTTGTGATCTTCCTGCCTCCGCCTCCCAAGTAGCTGGGATTAGAGGTGTGCACCACTGCACCTGGTGAGTAATGATCTTTTTGTTCCCTAATGACATATTTGCCTTAAAATCTATCCTGTCTGATGTTAATGTTGCTATGGTTTTCATTGTGCTCTTTTTTCTCCTCCCCTGGGGGTTTCTTTTAATTTTCTATAAGCTCAGTTATACACCTAAAAAAGATATTTGTTATAATTTGGCCATTATGTCTGGTGTGTGTAGCAGGTAGGCTTGCAGGTTTGTTTCTAGATCCTGAAATTCTAAAACTTTAAAAAAATGAAACCTATACTCACCTTTAAACAAAAATATCTTACTATGTTTGATATTAAATCATAACAGAATAATTGTACGATATTTGTATAATCAAGGCCTCATCTTATCAGTGATGTTAAGTCATATTAATTAGAGGATTCGATCTGAATATATTGACTTTGATCTCTAATAGACATGAAAAAATTGGGGTTTTTCCCATAGTTTCCCATAAGAATCTGATACTACCCCCTTCCCTGAAGGCTGGTTTCCCCACTTGAGGACCACTGGTTTATGGAATCTCAAAGAAAGATTACATTTTAAAGAGGGAAGTAGTTTATTTTATTAACAGTTTGGTGTTCCTCTTCCTATCCCTGTCACTTCCAGATGTTACACGTCATAGTTTTCTTTGGTCCTCTGGTGCTTCCTTTCAGTATGTTTTCAATCTTCATTGGTCTCCCAGTTCGGTGGCATCCAAGAAACCAACACTAGGCTCAAACGCAGTTTCTAACTGGCAATGTACAAGTCCTAACACTGGAGGCAAATCCTATCAGCTGACGTTTAACTTTATCTTACCAAATCAGGTTGCTCAGGGTTTCAAACATCCAGTCTGTACATCTGCTTGTGGCATAAGTAGGGTATCTACTTTTATCTATTACTATGAATTTCAAGGGTCCTGGAAGAGATTGTGATTTGAGTTCAGCTGTTGATAAGGAGCCTGAGGGGAAGCTTTCATTAGTAGTGAGAATGCTTGGCATTTGATGTGTTCAACTTCTCATACGTATGCACTACATAGAAAGCCTTTAAAAATTCATTGAAGTCAATGCTCCCATCTTTGTTTAAGTCCATTGTGTTGGCAAGCTCATCAATTTGAGAATCATCAATTTGAACATTGTAGTGAGAACTGAAAAGTTTCCACGTGGTCCAAAATTCTTCCATGGAGATCTGGCCTAAAAGAATATAGGAGAAGGTAATAGAGCTTTCACTTCAAGATCCAACTAAAAGAGGGGTGGGAAAGTCATATGAATTGAATAATCCCAATGAGAAGCTCATTAACATGCCTACCCATCAAGGCAATGAAGGAAATGGAAGAGGAAAGTCATAAATGTATGAAACCACATGCCACTTCCAACTACAAAGTGATCCCAAGAATACTCTAAAGCCAGAATAAGTAAACAGTGCTAGAATGTGGACTGTGGAACTCAATGTGGTACAGAAATGATAAGAACTGAAATCTAAGAGTTAGGGGCATGGAAGGATGGCAAAGCAGAGTGAGATACCCTGGGAGTCAGTAAGAAGATTGCAAACAATGGTGTTGCCTTTTTTCATAGGCAATAATTTACTTTCGTAGGTCAATTGCTGATTTGTGTGTGTGTGTGTTCAAAGGTCTCTGCAGTAAGGGAGTATCTGATTTGGGTCTGTGTGATGCCTCATGGATGTTAGGCAAGCATTCTATCACTGAAGCTCCATCCCCAGTTTGAAAATAAGTAACTGCGTATCAAAGTTAAATAAAAGAATGAGTTTTCATAGCTCTCAGTCCCCCAAACTGAATCAGAACTGTACAAATGGTTTGTATTTCAGAGTAACTAAGATATTAAAATGAAAAGTGAATTATCTGTGCTGGTGATTTATAAAAGAAACTACCCGTTTGACCAGTGGCTACACAGACTTCTATAGAATCCTATGGTCTTGAATACAGAGTTTGTGGACAAACTAAAGTAACAATAATATTAAACATGCATTCATCTTTCTCTTAGAGTTTCACCAAGTTTGGATGAAAATGAAATGGATAAAAAGAGTTCTGATTTTGGAGAAACAGACTGGATTTGTTTTCTACTACTACTGAACCAATCAAAGTTCATTTACCTGAGCAATCAGAATCAATGATATTAAATACCATCTGCAGGTCAGATCGGTATCTGTACAGAGTTTCAATTAAAGTAGATTCAGCCTAAAATAAAGATTTTCTAAGTGTTAAAACATATAGAATTAAAGACACCTTAACTTTAGCAAATGTAGCAAAGAAAAAACATCATTACCAATTCAAAGTATTTGATTTAGATAGAAACTGGAGAAGGCAAACCTTCTATTGGCCCAATGATCTTTAATTAGATAAAAGAACTGCTTTTGTGGTCCTTACAGACCAAAATGAATAAGGCAGAAGTAAGTAACAATTGTCAACTTTTACAGCAAGCTTTGTGTGGATTAATTCATTCAGTCCTCTATAACCCTAATAGGAATAGAACTCTATATTACATCCATTTTACAGATTAGAAATCAGAAAGTTAACTTTTCTTAGTAACTTTCCCTACGGTCACATAGCTATTAAGTTGGATTTGAATCTTAGTTTCCTGAAGCCAAGGCCTATCATCTTAGTTACATGGCAAACTGCCTCTGAAGTGAGGTCAAAATCCTCCTTCCTATGGACATTTTAGATTCTAACTTGCATTTCTTATTTCCTATTCTCTGTTCTTGTCATCTTCCCTGCAATCACCCAAATTCTAACTTCAATCAGGCCAATGATATAACTACTTGCTGATGAACTGTTAACTAATAATGCTGGGTTCTGATAACTCTCCCTGGGATGTTCTCATTTTAATAAGAGATTTTATGTTTTTAAATTCTTAAGACATATTCTGGGTCATGTCAGCAAGCCGATATGTTGTCAGGAAAAACATTAAGTATTTTAAATGATGTGCTACATGAAAGAATGGATGTCATGTCTGTCTTCTGCTGGATGGCATTTAAAATAAGACTCTCACTAGCTAAAACTTGGAAACAGCCCAAATGCCCATCAACTGGAGACTGGATAAAGAAAATGTGGGTTTTTTATAAAATGGAGCACTACTCAGCCATAAAAAATGAGAAATTAGAGACATTTATAGCTAA